CCTCAACGCTGCTCTCCATGTTGCCCTCAGTGTTGCCATCCATGTTGCCCTCCATGTCGCCCTCAGTGTTGCCATCCATGTTGCCCTCCATGTTGCTCTCAGCGATAGCGACCGGCGAGTCAGCTGCCACCTTAGCAGTAGCGTTCTGGGAGTGTTTCACCTCTTTTTCATGTGTGGTAGCCTCAGCCGTGGTATCCTGTGTGGCGGGGACATCCTCGTCCTGCGTGGCGCTCTTCGGGGCGTTCTTCGGGGCGGGAACATCCTCGTCCTGCGTGGCGCTCTTCGGGGCGTTCTTCGGGGCGGGAACATCCTCGCTCTGCGTGGCGTCCTGCGTGGCGTTCTTCGGGACGCTCTTCGGGGCGGGAACATCCTCTTCCTGCGTGGCGCTCTTCGTGGCGTTCCTCGGGGCGGGGGCATCCTTCGTGTGGCCGCGTGTCAGACCAACGTAATCACGCGGGTGCAAGGTGGAGCGACGTCCTACACACATCAAATTAGTTTATATCCATCACAGCGTACCTTATAAGCGTCATACCTGTGTTTGCGACCAACTGGACGTGCGCCACACCCTCTTGTTTCGCAGCCCCCCCGTACTGGGCGCTCGCATCTTCTCGTCTTTCTTCGCCATATCACCGTTGTAGGTTTCTCCCGTTCCTGGAAATGTCGTACTTTGTCGACCACAAGATTTTGCAAATTTTTAGTCTAACTGTTGGTTTCAAATTCACGGGAAGATAAAACTCGATAAATTACCGTCCAACACAGCAAGCTGCTGCGTTGCTCTAAACCACCTATCGTGTAATTGTGGTAAAGTTGTAGTAACGACTCCGGTATTGGCCAGTGCGGCAGTCGTGCGAGTCTCAAGAACTTCCCGAGACGGGGAAGCCCCGTCAGTTGCATGTATTAATGCACTAAATAAAGATTTCTGCCACAACCGCCACTAACCAGTGCTGCACGCGACGATGTCTTCTGGCTCGAATCTTGGGGTGACGGCGCCTCAAGGCTCGACGACTATGTGTAAGCTGACATGTATTGTGCCTTTCATGATTTTTGGCAAAACAGACTCTCAGAGCTAGTAAATCGAGGGTCCGATTTCAGCACGGGGTCAGAAATTGGTAGATATCTGACCTGAAATGCAATTAGGGTTAATGTAAACTGGTGCTGTTTAGGAGAGCTCAATCCGTTATGCCGACATTCAGCGGCTAATATGAGTGGTGAGCGGGCATTCCATGGACGTTCAGTAGCCAAAATCAACGGACTGACAGCATTACTTGTCAAATACAGACTAAACGGCCATGGCCTACTCCGATGACTTTTGTTGGAGAAGTGTGGTGCTGATTCACGTCTACGGTGTTCCTATTGAACACGTTGCTGAGCTTCTGGGACCAAAGGAGAGAACGATCCGCCGATGGTATGCGCTGTTTTTAAAAGGTGGAGTTGTCAACGAGCACTGTGAACGGCAACAACAAACGCGCTGGACATCAGAAGTTCTACAGGCAGTGGAAAAATATGTTCGAATTCACCCAACGTTCTACATCGAGGAGCTGCGCGAAAATATTATCAAGCATTTTCCTACACTTAGCAACGTATCGCCGTCAACGTTGTGTCGTGCACTAAACTTCGATCTTAATTTGAGTCGTAAAGTGCTAGAAAAGGCGGCACGCGAAGCTGTTCCTGCTGAAATCAGTGTATACCGTCATAAATTGCTGTCACTTTACTCTTTCGCTGAGCAGTTGGTTTTTCTCGACGAAACGGCGAAAGACGGCCGCCATGCTTATCGTCGATATGGATGGTCAAAACGAAATACGAAGGCCGTAGTCAAACTGCCGTTTCGACGTGGCAAACGTCTATCCGTGCTAGCCGCTCTCGATGCTCACGGTTTTTTTGGGTGGAAATGGACCGAAGGCACATTTACCCGCGAAAAGTTTCACGAAGCTTTTCTCCGTCGAGTGGTACCGAAGCTGTACCCATGGCCACTTCCTCGTTCTATCGTAATAATGGATAACGCAAAAATTCATTGCTACCCGGAGTTACAAGCGGCGAATCATCAATGTGGAGCACGATCATTATTCTTACCTTCATATTGTCCACAATTGAACCCCATTGAGCAATGCTTTGGCCAGCTAAAGCGTTGGCTACAAAAGTACGCCAATTTGGTGTTTCCACTGTATCCAGAGCAGGTTTTAGATGTAGCTATGCGTGCATGTACTCGACGTAGTGAGAGTGGCTGCTTTGGAGCCTTTCAGCACTGTGGATATCTTTGCAATGGGCTCAGGGAACAAGTATTTCCTGATCTGATGCAGACAAGTGAGAATGCCGAAGTGTGTTGAGTACGAAATTATTCTGGGATTTAATGTCTTTTAACCAAATTGCGCCTATGTCTCTTGCATTTCTTCATCTTCTAAATGGTCGACATCTTCCATGGTTGGGTTGGTTGCAGGTGTTGGGTTAAACTGGTGAAATATACCCTGTGTGAATATGTCATGATCTGGTAGCCCAATTGCACGTCTTAATGAAATGACGTCCACCTCCACAGGCATCCACAGTCCATTGAATTTCAGTGTCACGACACCAGTTTGCCTTGTGGATTCAGCGGCATCGTCTTCACGGCGCATTGCTTCACGCGTCTGGTCTAATGCAATGGCTTGAGATGTCGTATTATCCGAAGGAACTTCAAATGCTGTGCCATCAGGCCGGCAAGCATGTATAACGTCAAGATGATGAGCTGTGATTGCACCAAACGCAATAGAGTTGGTAGCTTCGTATGCCATTCTTTGGACCCTTGCATGTTGTATTTTCTGTGCAGTTGCGCGGTGGAACTGCTCGGGTGGGGTCGCTCGCTGCACGTATAGAAATGCCTCAAACCGAAAGTCACCAATGCGTGCCAAGTCCCCAGGTGTCAGCAGTTTCCATCGATGGTGTAATGTTGCCGAAAAATTATCAGGGGTGAGCAAGACAAATTTTTTTCTTGTGAGTCATTGCGAGCTCGTTTCAAATAAATCCCCACGTTTTCTGGAAGCTGAATCGGCCGCTTAACAGCTTCTGGGGTACTCAAAACCTCGTTGAACTTCGATAATCATTTCTCCTTAAAGACTGCATAGCCCTCCTGAATGTCGAAATGAATGTCCTTGCGCCATCCGCCTCGAGCTCGCCCGTGAGGCTCACCGACACGAGCTACAAGCACTGCCTCCGCACGATGTGGTAGTAGACGTGAACCATCTACCGCTAAACGTATAGCCTGCACAGGCCAAGGCTGTATCGTGCTCGCCCCTGAGCCGCCTTGGACCGCCAGTTCTGACGCGACTTGACTTGACGGTTCAGTTTGCATCACCAAACAACAATGAAATATGAGTGATGATAGTTGGTGCTCGCCGACGCAGATCAGATAATGGGACCTATACACAAATGTAAACGGGAGAGACTATACAATTGCCAAATTATCATTATCACACGCATCTCTTCCGTACCATTCGCATGAGTTTGTGTGGACTCTCCCAGCAACTGTGTACACCTCAGCTGCAAAATCTAGCTAAGTTTCCGCCTGCATACACGACCTTATACATGCACGCCATAAGTATAGTACTCTATCAGCCGGCCACCCACCTGATGTTCTCGATCACCAATTTTATGAGAGCTCGTACGTCTATTTGCCCGCGCTACACGTGACGTTCTTTCATCTGCACCCTCTTCATCACTCTATCGGCATGAGTGGTCTTCTTATAAGCAGTTTCTTCCTCCATTCTTGTTTGCTACGAGCACCTTGCTGCAGGAATGCACATCACAGCGTGGTCAGTCACTACTATGGCATTGCACCTATCTGCATGCAGCAAGACATGTCCACTTTCGTACCGATACTGGGTTCGCCTCACGCTGCCGGCAACGCCACTTAGCCCCCTCGCCTCTCTGGGGTTCTCCAGTTTTGCGGTTTTATAGTTAATGGTGAGACTAAAACGGGGTGTAAGGTCCAAAATGAGGAAGCCTATCCTGAGATGAGATCCAAATTAGTCATATGGGCTCGTCCGAAATAAGTAGCTAACAGGCAGCAAAAAACATGAAATCCACAATATGTATTACATTACACATTGTGAAACGGGACACAAAGAGGGCATGGAATACTGAAAGAACTCTTCCAGCAAAACTTAGAAATATTATTAGGAGCACCTTCATAAACATCAGGTAACCAAAAATGAAAAGGCGAAGCTCCAACTTAAAATAAAATACCAACTAAAATAAAGATTAATCCATAAGAAAAACGGTATGTGCTGGACATGGAGCACAGATCGACGACACTTAACCAGCTGGAAGCACAGCAACACCCGCTTCTCAGCTTTGTGACGGGTCTAACTTACTGTGCCCCCATACTTTTGCTTCAAGGTGCTTCGACATATTGCTGTACACATCGTTTCCTAGAGCCCAGTACGCTTGCACTATAAATAACCACATTGGTGTATTAAAAAAGCTTTCTCGCTTATCCTAAATTATAGTCGCTGATTTCCGGCACCGGATGAAATATACCGGTGTCAGTGAAGGACTCAATGAGAGACCCCTCACGTGATTCACGGCAAGGGCAACGACACCGGGAGAGTACAGTACGCATCGTTGACGGCACTATTAATAAGTGGAACGGTATTTCTTTCGGCAAGCAGACTCCATCACGAAGCGATCCCATCCGGTCCACCATTCAACTTGTGCCTCTACCCCTCCTGCGGCGCCACCGTCGTTTGATCTGCTCGGGCTTCTGTAGCAACTGTGAGTGGAAGTCGAGACTTTGCTAAGCTGAGACTTTGACAACCCGTCGAGGCTAGGCACCCGGCAAACGTCACATCGGCTCCCACGTGTTCGGGACCGGCGCATCTGTCGCCGACCTCGGCCCCATCCACACTCAACCTGTCTTTACCATGGGCACACACCCGCCTTGATGATGTGAGGCGCTCACAACGGAAAAGACCCTCTCGGAGAGAGTGTCCGACAAACTTTCAGTTGTCGACTCGACAGAACTTGACAACATGGACGGCAGACCCGTGCTCCGTCAGGTCTCGACTTCGAGCCATACGCCCATGAGCTCCGACGGATCGGAGCCTACGGCGGTGCTCGGCGCCCCGATGTCGCGCAACGAGCTTGAACGCAGTCGTACACAGCTAAACCAGAGTGGAATGATGTCGCCAGGTACGGCATTTGAAAACCTCGACACCATCAAAGGACCGGCACCGCACACGTTCAGTAACAACAATATCCCGGTGAAGCCCAAGGTGGCGCTCTTCGACGGCGACTCGCAGCTGTCAACCGAGGGATTCCGCCAACGCGCAGCACTGCAGACGTGCTCCATCAGTTGGCAGCACATTTCGTATTTCATTCAACCGAAGGAAAAGGCACTCGGACGCCTCCGTAACAACAGCAAGCGCGGTTCGGGTCCGTCCGGGCTAGAGGCGCAGTTCGAGCGTCAGCAACCACGCAAGATCCTCAACAATATATGGGGGCGATCAGGGCCGGGCGAGTTGACGGCCATTTTGGGTCCGTCCGGTGCCGGTAAGACCACACTTCTTGATATGCTCGCGGACCGAGTGCCGTCGGGAGGCTCGGGTGTGCACCTGGAAGGACTTGTAGAGGTTAACGGTCAACCACGCGACCTCCGCACTTTCCATTCTATTATGAACTACGTGTCTGAAGACATGGCGTTCTTGGGAGCTTTCACGGTGCTCGAAACGTTGCAGATCGGAGCTGGTCTGAGTCTACCCGGTCACATGCCCCCCGTGCAGCGTGAGGCCCGTGTTCAAGAGTTATCGATGCCATGGGCTTGCGGTCAGTTCGACGCTCGTGTAGGGAGTTTCCACAAAGCTCTCTCGGCCAGGTAAGGTTTGCGTCTGGCCCCGCGGGATATCTTGTTGACCTATGCCCGTTCTCTGTCGTTTCGGCGGTAGAAAGCGCAGCTGGCGGTCGGGATTCTTCTTCTGCGCTCGCGCGTTATTCTGAACATAACATGGGAGCGGTTGTGCCCGGAGAGAGGTAAAAGCCGCTTGTGCCAGGAAGGTGGAAAGAACGTCGTGTGTACGATCCACCAGCCTTCTTCGTCCATCTACGGCATGCTTACGAACCTCATTATCCTTAGTGGTGGTGAGTTAGTGTACAGCGGTCCTACAAACGCTGCTATCGCCCACTTCTTCTCCATGGGTTACGTATGCCCCATGTACACCAACCCGGCGGAATACTTCGTTCACCTGGTCAACACAAACTTCCACGACGGCTTGAAACTCGAGCCCTTTATCCGTGCACTCAAGGAAGGTGCCGAGCCGCAGCGTCTTCGTGCCGATGTTGTCAGAGATCGTTCCCGTCGCGATCATCTGGCCAATCCGGAACTCTTGAAGGCTATGCGACCGTGGCCGATGGACCAGTTCTTCGTGCTGGTGAAGCGTAATATGACGAACAACTGGCGGCACCCGGGTGTCTTCTGGCTGCGTGTGCTCATGTACGTGCTGCTGTCGCTCATGGTGGGTACAATGTACCTGAGCTCCAATGACGGCATCAAGGCCATCTCGATGGTGTCGCTGCTCTTCTACGTGCAAGCTTTCCTCGTCTTCATGTCCGTCGCCGCTCTGCCAGCTTTGCTGGAGCACCGTGCAGTCATGGAGCGGGAGATGCGAGCGTACGCGCTGTCCTTGACCGGCTACACGATGTCTAACCTGCTGGCTGCGTTGCCGGGTATCCTGCTCATCTCCGTGTTGGCGTCGACGATCGTGGTCTTCCTGGCTCACGTGCGCTCTTTCCCGACGTTCTTACTCAATCTGACGCTGTCGCTCATCGCCTCCGAGTCGCTCATGCACTTGCTCGGAGCTGCCGTGCCTCACTACATTATGGGCATTGCCTTGGGCGCCGGTCTCTTCGGTATGTTTATGCTCTGCGAAGGCTTCATGGTGCCATTCGAAGACATGCCCGTGTATTGGAGATGGGGCTACTACATCGCCTTCCACACGTACTCGTTCGAGTCCTTCATGTACGAGCACTTCTCCAAAGTCAACACGAAGGAGGCGTGGGAGATACTCCGAGGTTACGGCATGGAAAAGGTCAACGTCTGGCAGGACATGATCATCCTGGCCTGCTACTCGGTCGTACTGCAGCTGCTCGTCATCGGAGCGCTATTTCTTCGTTTCAACCGGCACCGTCGCCGCTAAGCGTAATGCGTCTTTTATTAACGTTTGCATAAGCAATAAAACATGAAAGTATTCATGTTACCATCCAGTACGGTGTGAAACATCAGCTACATGTATTAATAGCAGGTGCATACATATGAGACTGCGTCAAACAAAATGTTACTTATGAACCTAAGTACGAATCGCGATTTAAGCACTCTAAACGGGTCTTTTGAGCCCTTATAAGCTGCAGAATGCTTAAAACTGAAGAAGTTGTGGTCGCTCAAAAATATTATCTTCATTTATGGGCCCTCGAAATGACGATACATTTAGGAGTGTTGTGAGCTCAATATTTTTTTAATTTTAGAGATTTAAGTGCTATTTAAAAGCTCTTGTTAAAAGCAATTGAAAAAGGGTGGTTTTACAATTTTTTCGATGGAAGTTTACAATAAATGTCACTGTTTCGGTTAAGTGCGAAAATCTATTGGCCAACTTTAAGCCCGATTATCTCGATAACTCTCATTTGTTCATAAGTAACATTTTGTTTGACGCAGTCTCATATTACGTATGCTTGAGACTGCGTCAAACGAATCGAGATAAAATGCTAGAGCATCTCCAGTCGCATTGTTGTAATCACGAGTTTAAATCTATTTTGATGGCTACTCAAAAATAGAAATACAAATACTTCTGCCTATGCCCACTCGCCTAGTCGCTATCCAGCATAGATGGAACTTCAAGCGCTGCTACGCCACGACGACGATGACAGCATCATCGATGTTCTTGATGGCTTTGACGCCGAGATCACTCTAAGTCTGATTATACGTCGCCGTTCTAAAAGACGAAGAGGCCGGCCACGCCGGGGCTCAGTCCCCGGAAGGATGAAATTACGTGAACGGAATATTATACTCGGTCACGAATCAACAATGCGGGACTACCTCGGTCCTAATCCGGTCTACGACGAAACCCTGTTCCAGCGACGCTACGGACTCCCTTCAGGACTCTTTCGGCGGCTATTGATCGATATTACGGAAGCGAATTCTTATTTTGCAAGGAAACCTGATGCTGTTGGCAAGATGGAAGCATCTCCAGAGCAGAAAATGAATACAGCTCTACGCATGTTAGGAAGCGGCATCTCTGCTGATGGACAGGACGAATATTGTCGAATAGCAGAGACTACTGTGATAAAGAGCTGTCATGCTTTCTGTAAGACTGTGGTAGACATATATGGTAAAGTGTACCTGCGGGCGCCAACAGCAGATGACGTTAGGAAGATCCTGCGCTTTAATAAGAGTCGTGGCATGCCGGGTTTGCTGGGATCTCTGGACTGCACTCACTGGCGATGGAAGAATGGTCCGACAGCTTGGCACGGACACTATCGTGGCAAAGAAGGAGCTCCTACTGTCGTTCTTGAAGCCATTGCCACTGCAGATCGATGGATATGGCATGCTTTTTTCGGTATTTCGGGATCAAACAACGATTTAAACATTCTGGATCGTTCTCCTTTACTGCATTGTTTTCTTAATGATAATCAGCCTCGTGTCCACTATGAAATTGATGGTGTAGACTACGAAACACCATACTATTTTGTGGACGGTATTTACCCGGCATGGAGTACATTCATATCGGCGTATACGGAGCCTGAAGAAAGGAGCAAGAAGGCGTTTACAAAAGCCCACGAGGCTATCAGAAAAGATGTTGAATGTGCATTTGGAATATTAAAGTCCCTTTTAGTGTCCTTGCCGTACCGTCTCGCTTGTGGTACGAGGATCAAATGAAGTACGGTATTTACTGCTGCGTCATTCTACATAACATGGTGTTCGAGTTGCGAGGAGAAAACGTGCCTGACTACATTCCTGATCCGTACGGTACAGAAACTTTGAATACAACCGCAGAGCAGCAACCCCTCGAACCCGTACACGTGTATGCATAAGCCGATAATGTTTGGCGGGTTCAATTATGGATATATACAAGCGCCTTAAAGTTTTTCACGACAACAGTGCATCTTTGGCCATGCGAGAGGTATTTTGCAGACATTTCTGGAGTTGGAATGGCACACATTAACACAGTTCAGATTATTAATGTATATGCTTTGCTACTTATATTTTTTTAACTTTGAGAATGACGAAGACTCGAAGATTGTTTTTGTGGTAATTTGTTTGTTAAGGTTAAAGCAATTCAATGATCGTGTTCGTAGATTGTCTTAAATGGCGGGACGAGCTACTAAATCCTTGAACGAGCCAGCATCATTTCCAACCGTACCATTGACAGGTATAGCTACATCGGCACCTGGATCAGGTGAGTTTTGACGTTTGTCTTGCACGTCTCTATCTCGACCATTGATCGATGTCCCTAGTTCTCGAGCTGCCTCTCCATCCATGATAGAAGCTAGACGCTTCTTGTGCATGAAACTGAAAAAGGTTTTGGATTCTTCAGAATTCGGGTCTGTCTGAAACAGGTCCATTGTAAGCTGCTCCTCAATCAAGTCGTTCTGGCGCTTCATTTGCTCAAAGAGTACAGAGTTTCGCTCTTTATTGTCATCCACGAGTTGCTTCAGTATTTTAAAATCCTCGATTTCCGCGGCTAGATTAGTCTTAGCTTTCTTTCGTCCTGCTGGCCTCTCCTTCTCTACTTCACCAGCCACACCAGCGTTAGATCCGGACCCACGGGTTCTAATCCCATCCATGAACTTCGGGCATTTCTGCAGAATCAACGAACAACTCTCGAAAGAAAACTCGGATCCTTGTTACATTCTGAATAGTAATCGAGTGTCTTTCATTACGTCACCCGCACTTTTTGCCGACTCATTGCGGGCCTTAATAACGCTATAGCACCCCACAAATTTGGCCACGTCGTGAGAAATACTAGACCATCGATTGCGAAGCGCTTGTGCAATACGAACTTACTCCTTCTTCGATTTTGCTGCGCTAATAAATCGATTGAGAATTGAACGCTGCCTTCTGCTCTGCACCTTGAATGGCATTTTGAGAGAGGTCTAAAAATGCGCGAACTAGCGCTTCATCTTGCTGCGTCTCCCTTTTTCGCCCGCGTCCCATTGTAGAATTGTGGATTTAGTCGATAGTCTCCTTCTCGAAATCCACCTTTAGCTTTCAGGCGAGGTTGTGGGCGGGCTCCCAGGTGAGTTCAGCCATTGGATAAGATAAAAACTCAAAATCATTTACCCAGCGTTTTGCGTACACGTTTTCGACGTCAAACCATCGTTCTACCACCGTCACTGCCGATCGACGTTCTGGCTTCTTTGGTTCTTGGTGAACAATTCGTAATATTAGGGTTGATAGCATGCCGGTAGAAAGAGCCGTGTAGCCTGCGTTCCATGTTTCTGACATGTTTCTTCCTCTTATTAGCGGGTGGCATTGACTTCACCCTGATTAAATTAAAATTTCACCTAATCGTTTCTGTTTTTATTTCTAAATAAGAAATCGCACATTCACCGACGGCTTAGTATTAACGATCGTTTTGTAGAGATGTATCTCCTTCTTCAGCTTTACGCCTTCACGTATGCAATTTCTGTAAGCGCATCGGTCAAGAGAACTACTGGATTAGTATTTATTACTTCTTAATATGAGCCTGCCTAAAGGACAGAAACCATGTCCGATTTTGTGCTATAGAATGTCATTTAAAAAAGAAAATCGTAAAATGAAAATGAGGGGATACATTTTTAGATGAAAAGTAGCCAAATTTCAGCAACATTCAGACTTGCTCCGACGTCATAGCGCTTCGCGCTTGTTTTCGATTATGTTTCGGCTTGGGTCCCGGCTTAAGCTCACGCTTATTGATACGTGCTGATTCTACCAGAAGATGAAGAATACTTAGTGCAGTGTCAGCTGTTAGTGTCACGCTTGTAGGCCATGGTCTAAACAGAAAGGTGATTGTATTGCGATGGTGCCCTATCGACGTTTGTGTAGAGTCGTTCAGCAATTCGATACGGATCATAGATTGTGTAACGGGGTACGTAGCTCTAAGTGTACCCCTAGTTACATGAAGTGTGACACGTCGTACTTCGGGATATTTGGTACAAGGTACCAAGGTCGTCCAAAGCCAACCATTGGCTGATGACATTGCTTTTCTTTAGGTGACTCATAGTTTGTATTTAACTCAGGCTTTATCTACCTATAAATATACTCAGTTTACATTCTACCTTAAATAGGTCACTTCGCTCCATTTCGATAAAAGAGGACCTGTCAACTGCCGTTCTCTGAGCGTTCGTATACTCTCGGAAGCCAACTTCCTCTAGCGCAAGGTGCTGTGTGACCCCGTCACACTTGGTAGCACTCGTAGTCAATCCTGGTGGCGTCAACACCGGCCGAGCAGCTCGAGCGCGTCAATGCGTTTGACGTGTACGAGCAGGGGCTCATCGCGCATGTGCGTGAGAACCTGCAGGCTCCGGCGGCGGAAGTAAAACCGCCATACCCGAAGCCAATACGGCAGAAGGTTAAGCCGTGTGAAGGGAAGGAAGATGAGAGCCTTCACTTCTGGGTCCGAGAAGTAGAGCTCGCGATGGACGCGGCTCTGATCTCGACCGAGCAACTTCGTGTTGCTTTTGCACTGTCCAACCTTAGCGGTCGTGCTAAGAGTTGGGTGTACACGCAGGAAGCAACAGCCCCTGGATGTTTCACATCCTGGGCTCAGCTGTGTGAACAGCTCCGAGCAGCGTTCCTCCCGGCGAACTACGAGTACCGCCAGCGCTCGAGCTTCCTCTCGTGCAAAACAGGGAGGCGTGAAATGCACGAGTACGTGCAAGAGATACGGGAGATCACGGCGTCCCTAGCGGGAACCCCACTCTACGAACACATTAAGATGACTGTGTTCATGCACGGTCTTCGAGTGGGCCCCGCACGCACTCAGCTGTTCCGAGTGCAGTCAAACACCCTTGAAGAGGCGATTCAAGTGGATCTTTAGGAAGAGTACAGCCATCGCCAGGCGCGCACGCCGGCCTCAGCGTGGCCTGGGAGTTCCATGTCGACTCCCGGTCGAACGAGCCCGAGCGGACCAGTTCCCATGGAGCTCGGGTCCGCCGAACAGCG